GACATTGATTTTTCCCCTCCCAGCCCGCTGCTCGAGGACTATTGATCACGCTTCTGGTCAGGCTCTGCGGCTATCGCGTTCCCCTCAGGTGATCTGAGGCTGCAGTTCAACCTCGGGCATCGCTTGTACGACGTGCTGTGCCTTTTTTCCTTAAGGTCTTTAGCACTAACATGGATTTTGCAGGTGGATATTGTGGGGAAAAGCTCTGCAAGTGCCATCTGTTTCCCAGGTTTCCCCACGCTGAGGCTAGACCTTTGCAAAAGTGGGCACCACAGATAACGGAAGGACCTTCCAGCAGGATGGCACGTTGGCCGATGTGGGGTCTCGTCTCGGGTCACGTTAATCTCTTTGGGAAAGTACAGCTCAGGAGCCGCTTCCCAACACGAGATCCTTACGTCAGTCCGGCTGCTTGGATGTTTTATTTCAGAAATACGCTGGCGTTAAGGTGGATGACTGTGTAATGTGTGTGTTCACTTTTTTTTTTCCCCCTTTTCACAGTATCCGTTCGAACTAGGCCTGGTCGCAGCCTTTGTGTTTTCGATGCTGGTGTGTCTCAGCAGGCTCTACACGGGGATGCACACGGTCCTGGTAAGGATGCTCTCCTCCTCCCCGTGCCGGTCGTGCCTCCGGCTCTGCGTACCTACAGCGATTCCCATCTCCCACTCTGCAAGCGACGTACGTCCTGCCTCGGCCGTGCCACTGCAGGAATATAGGAGTCATGCCACTAAATTTCAGGCTGTACATTCGGAGGCAGATGTGAGGAAACCCTCGGGCTATTGCTATTTGAATCCGCAGGGGAATTATTTATACCATTAGGGAAGCAGCAGCGCACGCGGGTTGAGGAGCCGGGTGAGGTCGGTGCGGCGTCCAAATTGTAGTTCTCTATTTTGAAATTTTAATTGCGAGGAATGCACTTGGGCAACTGACGCTGCTCCTTGGCTAAGCCTTTTGTGCAATAGTATCACTGTTGTCAGGGAGAAATATTCCGGGCTGGTTTAGCCTGGGAGTGTCAGGGAAGGAATAGCAGGTGGGTGAGTCACGCCGGCGACCAGCGGAGAGCGGAGGAGAGGGTGGAACGTGACAAGTGAGCTGCCGTGTTGCCATACAGGGACGTGGCACTTAAAAAAAATATCACGACAAGCTTCTCGTTTTCAGCTGGTAGGAAATTCATTCTTAAAGGATTGAGATGCACAAAGGCTTCGTTCAAAAAATAATCATAAAATATCTGTGACTTTATATGACAGCCTTGTTGGGCACAGTTGTTGAGAGATGTCAGCCCTGCTTTAAAAACAGATTTCAGTGTAACTTTGATTAGGCAGTAGCTGGTTCCCTCCTGACGAGAGGAAACGTTATTGACCTGTTACATGTAATGGTCGGGGGGGTGGTCCAGCTGCCTAACTACGGATAAAAACTCCCGGCTACTTCCCCGCAGGAGTTTGGTACGCATTGTTTGTTGGTTGCATATGCATAAATAATTGCATTTTTTTACTAAGTATTAATTATGTTTGTAATAAGGAGACTTGATGACTGTAAGAAAGGGAGCCCTTATGAGATTAAGGCTATCTATAAAATATAGCTTGACCTTCCCTTCCAGGCTTAGTGGATCAAAACAATATCTTAAATCGAAGCTGGAGACACCCTTTCTTGACTAGTGACCTTAAGTCAATCAGTAAAAATTCTTCGCATACTTCCCTTGCTGGTCCATCGTAATGAAAGACTCCTCTAAATTTAGATGGATTTTAGGGTAAAGAAGAAAAAGTCCTTTGTGCCTTTGACACGATAAAAAAGGGCTTTAAAATAAAAAAAGCTCCTTAGCTGAACTGTGAGCAACGCTGCCTTTCAAAAGGGCAGACGTACTTCGCCGGGGTCTTCATCCCGTGCGTGCCACGGTGGGGATGGAGCTGGGGAAACGGCTGATGGTCACAGCTGCCCAAATGCAACCCCCCTCTCTCTGCGGCGCCGTCCGTCCCGCCTGCAACGACAGGTTCTTTCGGGGAAGACGCGCGGTTCAGAGACATTTACCACACCTTGAGGGACGGCTCCCAGCCTGAGCTGCCCGAGATACCGCGGGGCCGAGGCACAGCGGCCTCTCGGCCAAGCCACCAGCTGAAACAGCCTCTATCTAATGAATTCTTAACTGGGGTTTTAATAGAAGATGAATACCGACAGGACATAATTATATATGAAACAATCATAATATTTTAGTAATGGAAATGAATGGGTAAAATATACCCAGCGACTTAGTGTAACTGAGTTTGTCCCGTTTGAGGAACCAGAAAAGGAGCGGCAAGGTGGTTGCACCGTGCTTTGCCACAGCCGTGGCTGAAGCTCCGGCGCGGGGGCTCGTCTTCTGCAGCCTCAGCTCTACAAATCAGGCTGTATTTCAGCACTGCTTTTGGATCAGGAGCGGCCTCAAAGAGCACAGTCGTGTCAGTGGAAGAGATGTTACCATTAAAGACCTGCTGGAGAGGCAGTAAACCGGTATGAGAGCTACCTGCATCGTTATAGCCGTAGCAGAATGAATACTGTGCTTAGGGAAAAGGCAATAAACACCCGTTGCCCGGGCTGTTACCAGGAGAGCATCACCCAGCTGGAGAAGGGGGTGGAAGCGATACGCTCGCACTGCTGAGAGAGAATTGAATTACAGCAACCCACCTCCGCCACCTCAACACGAGAACATCCCGTGTGCGTGGAGAAGCAGGGGGAAGGCAGGGTCCTTCCTTTTAGGTCTTAAATGATGGGGTCTGAGGAGCTGAGGAAGTGGGAATCTGCGGTTACCTGGAAAGGGCAAAGTGAAAATTTGGACAGATTTTGAAGCAGAGAATCTGTAATTTTATAGAGGTTATTTTTAAGGAACAAAATGCAATTGGGAACAATAGGACTGGGGTTTTTTTGTTGCTGTTTGCTTTTTTCCCCAGACAATTGTGTTTTAGAAAACATCCCTTTACTCCCCATCTTAAAGCTTTGGCCCAATTTTTGATCCCTGTCTCAGTGAGATGAACAAGTTTTTCTGTCTCAGCGTCGCTGGAGCACATCTGAGTCATCTCGTATTTGAAACGACGAGCGATGGCGTTCGTGTGAGTGCACGGCATTCCAAAAAGCTGCGAGCAAGATCACCGCAAATCGTATCGGGAAGAACTTCATCAGCCGAGGGCGGCTCCCAAACCTGGGGGGAGGAGGGGGAGGCTTTTAGCCTTCTTTTACCCCTTCGGGGCCAGCCGTAGGAATTTCTTAATGCGCCAAGCTAATGGGTTTGGCGTTCGCTGTGGAGGCAGAGCTGGATCTCCTCCTGGTGTAATGCATACTCCCCTGTCTCCAGCCGGCGACGGGGGCTTGGGGAAGCAGACGGGCACTCAAGAGCCACAGCTGATGTTGTGACAACCTTACCGGTACTGCGGCTTCCCACTTGCGCTGCCCTGAGTTAAAAGCGATAAATGCCCGGTGCCGGCCAGTGTGCGGGGTGGGATACAGGGAGAAGTCAAAAGGTCACTTTTTATGACCAAAAAGAAACCCAAAAGTCATTTCTGTAAATGAAGTAAATTGTTTGGGTTTTTTTTTTCCCCCGAGATACACCGATTCAGTGTTGATGCGTTTATTGCTGATTACACCACCCTCGGGAGAGGGTACTCGGTAGCCCCCACCCTGCTCCTTTGCTGTGCCCTATCTCAGGTTTTTTTACCACCACCATTAATCCTGAAATTATCTTAAATATTTTAAAGCTGACAAACAATACATTGGCATCACTTCACACACTGTGGCACTACAGCTGGCATGGGATGAAACGGAGTAACCTATAGGAGTGGAAAGCGAGTAAGATATTTCTGTTTAGGAGAGCGAGTAGCGTCTCACACTGTAAATGAAAACGTGAAGGGAATTCAGGCAATACAAGACAGAATAGGAAAAGTGTTATTTCTGCTTTGATTGGAAACATCAGGGAAGATGCTCGAGTGCCACCGTGTTCGGGGTGCTGGTTCGATGTTCCGGGGGCCTTTTGTGAGTGTTTACATCTCCAACCGTAGTTTCAATGGGAAGAGCATAGAACTGCAGTCTTGCCTTCAGAAAGCCAGACCACACACTTTTGCAATCCTAAACCAAACGGTGGTCTAAGACCTTGTGAAACAAACAAAAAAAACACCCCAGCCCGGCGCAAGAACGGCAGCAGCGGTGCCGGTGCCCACAGACGGCCTCGCCGCCGCCGTGCTTCCTCGGTGACGGGCAGAAAGCGTTTTGAAGCGTCCCAGGCATCGCGTGCAACTGGATTTTTACCTCAGTTGTTTTTCTTTACGTACCTGGAGCGCAGGAAAATACCTTGGAGGGCTCGCAGCGTTAGAGACCCAACACCAGCCTGTTCTTTAGGCAGCAAAGCAAAAATGACAGCTTTCTAGTTAAAATCAAGCGGAGCGAGGCCTCCCAGCGGGGCCGAGCTGCCTGGCGGCGGGGGGGCTTTTTGGGAGGGATGGAGCCTGTGAAGGACTGCCGCGGCACTTGTTAGTGCTGAGGGAGCTGGAGCATCCCAGCAGGGAAACGGGAGGTTTTTAAGCTTTGCCAGTAGTGCTGCACCTTGAGCAAAATCCGTGCCTGCCCTCATTTAAAAATTCCTTTGTAATTGTGGGTTTGGCAAGAGGCTAATCTGTTTACACAGGCAGACGGGCAAGAATGTGCTTCCTGGGAGTGCTAACAGCAGCTCCACCGCCGGGAAAAGCTAAGGTCCCGCTCCTGGGTGCGCAGTCGGGAGACTCCAGAAAAGCAGTTTTTCTCATAGAAATCGGAGCCGTCCCTCCTCTTCCCATCTCCTCCTTCGTTGAACGGGCGAGGGGGGGAATCATTAATTCTGCACTGCTAAATGGCTTCGTAAAGTGTTAGTCTTGAACTCGCCCGCCTCTTCTAGGTGTTCGGAAAATCAAACCCCTGCCCGTGCGGACCAGAACCAAAGGGAGTCGCTGCTGACGGGCTGTGGCTGGGTACGTCCCGCGCTCTCCAGCAGCTTCTAGTGAGGAGTCTCCAAAATGAGAAGCCCATATACTGGTGGACGGGGGGGAAAACCAGTATAAACCACTAGTCTCCAAACTTTTTCGATCACGCACCCCATCAGTAAAAAAATTTTTAGCATGCACGCCCGATATATGTATATTTATTTATGAATTATGTACATGTATTACTATACCAATAGCTACATTATGAAACATACAGAAAAATAGAAATTAAAAAAAGGGTGAGATAAGGATGACACAAACACTACTTTCAAAATATATATCTATTTTTTGCTTTACTTATTAGCGGTGCAGAAAGTATTTTCTTCCCGCAGCCCGATGGGTTGCCTTGCGCACCCACTTTGGAGGCCGCTGGTTGGGAGCAGAGCTGGTTATCTGGGTCCCGCCTGAAAACTACAGGGACCGTGTTACTGCGCTGGGGCTAAGCGGGAGGATAATAAAATGCAGAAAACATTCATCAGGTTTGTAAATAGAGGGTGTCTGCGTCCCGGCCGGGAACTGCTGGAGTCAGCTGGGTAAATCTGAGCAAAGCATAAACGTCTTCAACTGGAACAGAGAAACACGTGAACAGCTTTTGAATTTCACTCCTTAATCACACGTGGAGGGGGTATGGAGATGTCAGGACTTTTTTCTTCTAATATGACGTGGACAAACAGTGAGGCGGGAGGTGGAGGTGCACAGAGGTGATGGGATTTCTGAGCGTCGGTGCTGGCAGCAACCCCCAGCTCTTTCGTGTCGATGCAGTTACTGTTAGGCCAAAACATGCCTTTGTGTGTAACGTTATCATCCAAAAATCTTGATGTTGTGAAATATTGATGCCTAATGGTATTTTACATATTAGACATCTGTGAACGACTTTGCGTATGTCCATGGCTATCCTCATGTCACGGATGAGGGAATAAATGTAAGTGGAAATTTGGATTAGGAGTATGCAAAATGGCTCTGGGAGCTGCTTAAAACCAAACGTGTTGTGAGTCTGTTGCCTGGAAGCTGTAAACAGCTAGAGTTCAGCCATACTGGAGTAATGCATTTACCAGAAAGTCATTAAATATTTCTGTTGTGAAAAAGTCCCCTCCTTCCTGCCTAACTATATAAATGAAGTTCTCATAAATAATTCATTTTAGACTGTGACCAAGCATGGTAGTAGTCAACTGCCATGACTCGGTGAAAAAGATATAATCTCGAGAAGAGGACGTTTCTGTCTGTGATTAACTCTAGCTTTTGCAGGGCATGTCACGGTCAGAATACAAATTCTGCTGCCTCCTGAGCGACGCCGGGAGAGCAGCGTGGGGAGACTTGTTATATTGCTTTTTATCTGGCTGCTCGCATACAGACAGCTTTTGTTAGGGGTTAGCTCTTGTCTCCTTTCCCCGCCTTGCGGTCGACAACAATCAAGTTCTCAAAACACCTTATTTGCCTCTGTTAATAAATTAGGTTTTAACTATGCGCTTGCCTCGGGCGCTTAACTACAAGCTGGATTTCAGAGGCTTGGGCAACAAATTTCTGCTTGATGGATTCTTGCCCGGCGGTGCCTACCTCTCGCCCCGGTCGGCAGAAATCACGGCACCACGTCCCGCAGCTCTGCGCCTTTCTCCCCGGGAGCCTGTGTTCCTGGAGCGGGTGCGTGCCTCTGACAAAAGACAGCATCTTCCCGTTCATGCAAAGCAAGCAAGCGATGATCCTACCGATCCGATGAAATTACTTGTAGGATTGTGGGAGGGGAAGGGTTTGTATGAAGGCGGCTTACTGTGATACCGTCCCTGAGATGGAGTTGTGCATGTGCCTTTTCCACCGAGGTCGTAGGCGGAGGGTGCCCTTAAAACGTGAAAGCAGGTGAGGGGAAGAATCTTATTTGTTCAGGGGGAAAATATGAGTCAATAGATATATTCTCACGGACGAGGCTAAGGATGGGTTCACAGACTGTCACGTTTTGTTTAGCACAAGCTTTGGGTTGTCACTGTGCGTGGGCAGTGCCACCGCTGCGAGTTCAGGGCATTCCTCTGCTGCTGCGCGCTCACAAATGCAGATACTGGTCTTTTATCATCACCCGAGAATATCTGCTTTACCTGCCAGGTCTCACAAAGCTTTTAAACGTGATCTCTTTGCAGGACGTGATCGGTGGAGCACTGATTTCAGCTGTGCTGCTCATGCTCTTGTATCCTGCGTGGGACATGATAGATCACTTGCTGTTAACTAGTCCCTTCTGTCCACTGCTTTCCATAGTTGTGCCTCTTGTCTTATGTTACAACTACCCCAAACTAGACTATTACAGCCCTACCAGGGGAGACACCACTACTATCTTAGGAGCAGGAGCTGGAGCAACTGTGGGATTTTGGTTAAATAACCAGTATGCGGCACCAGCCTACACCGGCGAAAATTTGCAGCTTGGAATTCCTCTGATTACCAGTAAAATAGTGGTGGTCGTGTTAGCCAGGTTCTTCGTAGGGATCTTTGTTGTTCTACTGACGCGCCAGCTCATGAAGAGTGTGGTCCTTGGCGTGCTGGGTTACCGGTACAAGTTTCCCATCGGCGACCTGGAAGCCCGAAGACGACTGGAAGTCGAAGTGCCGTATAAATTTATAACGTACTCCTCGGTTGGCTTCAGCGCTACCGTGATTGTGCCGCTGCTGCACAAGCTGTTAGGATTGATGTGAGCGCAGCGCCTTCCTTACGAAGTAACGCATGGCACCACAATTTCAGAGATGCGATGAGTTGATCAAGGTGGTAACTTGACCAAAAAGTGTTTTGTGCCTTTCTGCACTGGCCTAAAATACCCGATTCATGGGAATCGCTGTACACAAATAACTTTGGGTTAGAAATCGCTGACCCCACTGTGTCCCATAATGGGTGCGTGCCTCTGACAAAAGACAGCATCTTCCCGTTCATGCAAAGCAAGCAAGCGATGATCCTACCGATCCGATGAAATTACTTGTAGGATTGTGGGAGGGGAAGGGTTTGTATGAAGGCGGCTTACTGTGATACCGTCCCTGAGATGGAGTTGTGCATGTGCCTTTTCCACTGAGGTCGTAGGCGGAGGGTGCCCTTAAAATGTGAAAGCAGGTGAGGGGAAGAATCTTATTTGTTCAGGGGGAAAATATGAGTCAAATATGAGGGGGATATATTCTCACGGACGAGACTAAGGATGGGTTCACAGACTGTCACGTTTTGTTTAGCACAAGCTTTGGGTTGTCACTGTGCGTGGGCAGTGCCATCGCTGCGAGTTCAGGGCATTCCTCTGCTGCTGCGCGCTCACAAATGCAGATACTGGTCTTTTATCATCACCCGAGAATATCTGCTTTACCTGCCAGGTCTCACAAAGCTTTTAAACGTGATCTCTTTGCAGGACGTGATCGGTGGAGCACTGATTTCAGCTGTGCTGCTCATGCTCTTGTATCCTGCGTGGGACATGATAGATCACTTGCTGTTAACTAGTCCCTTCTGTCCACTGCTTTCCATAGTTGTGCCTCTTGTCTTATGTTACAACTACCCCAAACTAGACTATTACAGCCCTACCAGGGGAGACACCACTACTATCTTAGGAGCAGGAGCTGGAGCAACTGTGGGATTTTGGTTAAATAACCAGTATGCGGCACCAGCCTACACTGGCGAAAATTTGCAGCTTGGAATTCCTCTGATTACCAGTAAAATAGTGGTGGTCGTGTTAGCCAGGTTCTTCGTAGGGATCTTTGTTGTTCTACTGACGCGCCAGCTCATGAAGAGTGTGGTCCTTGGCGTGCTGGGTTACCGGTACAAGTTTCCCATCGGCGACCTGGAAGCCCGAAGACGACTGGAAGTCGAAGTGCCGTATAAATTTATAACGTACTCCTCGGTTGGCTTCAGCGCTACCGTGATTGTGCCGCTGCTGCACAAGCTGTTAGGATTGATGTGAGCGCAGCGCCTTCCTTACGAAGTAACGCATGGCACCACAATTTCAGAGATGCGATGAGTTGATCAAGGTGGTAACTTGACCAAAAAGTGTTTTGTGCCTTTCTGCACTGGCCTAAAATACCCGATTCATGGGAATCGCTGTACACAAATAACTTTGGGTTAGAAATCGCTGACCCCACTGTGTCCCATAATTAGAGACCCCTGGCCCAGACGACTAAAGATGACAAGCGCAGAGTACAAAGCCAAAATCCCTGCCGGAGCAGCAGCAGCGGCTGGTTTGCCGTGGGGTCGGGGGTGCCGGGAAGCGTGGCTGGGCCTGTGGGACGCCGGACCCGTGGGCTGCGGAACTG